GCCACCCGGGAGCAGGCCTAAGCCAGCAGGTCGTTATCTCCCGAGGGGTCCCAGACTGCGAGAGGGCACAGGCCGGGCTGAGGAACCCCCCCTCCCCCGAGTGCACAAATTTTTGTGCACCGGGCCTCTAGTAATATATATATAAAAAAGGAAGCTAAATACAGTAAATATAAAATTTGTTTGTGAAGTTAAATTCATATTTTAGAGAGATTAATGGAAAAATGGATAAACATATTTTAACAGGTAGAAAAACCTGTCTGAAATGTTCAGACATTTTTTAAAAAACACCTGGGAGACACTGTAGTTCTGAGTAAGAAAATTACATGTAGAGATACCTAGAATGTGAGAACTTTAAGATAACTAATTACTTTTCCTAATGATTCTAATCTGCAAATAAACCTGTGCCAGACCAGCTATATAAGAATTATCTGCAGATCTTTATAAGGCTAGGAATGCCTATTTAAGATGGAGACATTCAGGGGCAGGATAACCTGAACTTTTAAAAATGACTAGAGATTATTCAGATTTGTTATAAAGTTTAGAAACTGATGACCTCGTTGAACCCCTTCCTTTCAAATGAGGAAAATGAAACAAAAAAGTGATATGATGGGTTTGACTACTAGCTGCATACATAGCTCATCTCGTGCTTTTTCCGCTTCTGTGTATAAGCAACAGGATGGATTGGAGGGTTAAAACCTGGAGAGGAAGATCCGATCCGTTAAAAAACTGTGATAGCGATCTAGGAAAAACTGTGCTCGAGTCTTTGCACCAGGGCTAGAGAGAAAGGGGAAGAGACAGTCTCCTCAAAAGACCAAGCGCCTAATTCAATCCAGGGGAAGGCAAAGGGAGCGGGAATTCAAAGTTCACCTACTAGGTCGGCAAACTCATTAGCCAACAGAGCCAAATATCAACAGTACAAAGATTGAAATTTCTTTTGAGAGCCAAATTTTTTAAACTTAAACTGTATAGGTAGGTACATTGTTATGAACTTAATTAGGGTACTCCTAAGGCTTAGGCAGAGCCACACTCAAGGGGCCAAAGAGCCTCATGTGGCTCCCAAGCCACAGTTTGCCAACCACAGGTGGGATCCTGGGCGAGTGTTTGTCACCCAGATGACTAATTTGGAAACAGCGGGAGGCCAGAAGATTTCAGAGGGCTTTTAGATTCTTCAAGAGTTGTCTCACACAACAATAACTTCCTCCATTTGTCTTCTCCCTCCCCTTCATTACCAAGAGCTGAAAGAAAGGAATTAACTTTTCCTGGGTCTAAAAGACCTGGAAACCTTTTTTTTTTCTGCCTTTCTAAGGCAATGTCCTGTGGATGAGTCAAGTTACACAGACCCGATAAGGGGAAGAATTCAGCTTGCAAACCACAGGTTCTTGTTTCCCTTTTGTTATTTCTGTTCGTCAGGAGCAATAAATAAAGTCCCTGACCTTTAGTCAGAAAAGACCCCTACTCACCAGCCATAGGTAACCACAGCCTCAGCCCCTTCCTGCTGCTGCGAAGCCAGTCACAGGCTTGAAAATGAAACTTTCTGGCACTTCCTCATAGCAGGGGGTGGGGGCAACTAACCAGACATTGAGCAACTGCTGCTTAGAACTTCTGAGTTCACCAGTCAGTCCGGGAAAATCCCTTGGGAAGAAATCTTTCTTCCTTTAGGGTAAAAAGGAAAAGAAATGCAAATGATGAAACATTTTCCTATTGGCTGGCACCTCTGACTGTTTTTTTCCCTTTTCCTTCTCTCACTTCCATGCCCCCACACCTCCTTCTCTCTGTCCTTTTTCTGACCCCTCAGTATTTCTCCTCTGCTCACTGAAAACTCATGAAGGAGTTAAAACTAACAGGTCTCCTTTTATTTCCAGATAAGAAGTATCCAAAATAGCTTCTGTTTTCTGTTTTGACTGTGCTGGTATCATCCCCTCCCTGTCTGCCTGTGCTTTTGAGATTTTATGGATAAGTTCTGAAGGAATCTGCATCTCCACTCTCCTCATGCTTTTCTGTAACTGCCTAAACATGCCTTCATGTTTAATTTTCGCTGAGGGTGACTTCTCACTACCATTTTTTTCATATTCTCTGAACAATGAGTCATCAGAGAAGCAGTCTCAGGCTGTAGTAGAACAAATGCATGGCAGTAAAAAAAGATATATACAGAAGATTAGTTAGTGGGAGTGGGGAAAGACTGTGATATTCAACTTATAAGGTCTTCAAAAGGTCAGAAATTCACCTCTGCTCCTAATGGATTAGGATTAGGAAGGGCTCAAATTGCATGTGAAAGGTAGTCTTTTCAGGCCTTCCCAAGTCTAGCATTGCTGACTGGAGGATTTTACCCCAAACTCATTACCAATGCACCACACAACAATGTTACTTTGTATACAACACATACATAGGGTATCATGTATTGTCAGCTAATTGTTTTGTGTTTGTTGGGTTCTGTTCCCAATAGCACTGTAAACTGTGAGCTGCCTGGAGTTCAGTCAAAATTACTTTGCAGCCCTAAAAGACCTTAGGAAAGGACAGAAACATGTCATTTCTGGGAGTGGTAAATTAGGATTTTGGATACATCACTTATCATACTCTGCATCCCTCCTGCTGAGCAGCAGGTTCTTTGAAGTCAGGTAGCTACTGTGATTGGCATCCGTATCCCTAAAACTGAAAGCCCATAAAATGGTGTCTAGAAAGAAAGAATGGTGCTATTAGGTTGTTCATTGATCATGGATCAAGTCTAAGGACTCCGGATCCATTAAAAGCTCCAAATCCCACTGCTTATCTTCTCAGAGTAGAAAAACACCATAACAACTTTTCATTTTTTAAATTTCAGATTTATTAGAATGTTGAAAGAAATGTCTGTTTCCTGCGGACATGATTCCAAAAGCGGGAACAGAATGACAGGATTCCAGGTTTCCTACAAGAAAACACAGACACACACACACACACACACACACACACACACACACACACACACACAAATATTTAAAAAAAGTGTCCTGCTAAAAGAAATGCAAGTTAAAAGATCACTCCACTTATGGGGACAGAAGGAAGAGACCATGCTATGTCTACATATTGCCCCACTGTGTGAAAGGAGGGGCCATCTAAAACCAAACTTTCATCATCTTATGGCCACATCTCAGTCTATATCAGCTGACCCTGAGAAAGGGGCATCTGACTGCTGAACTTTGAGAGAAGAGCAGCATGCTCTGCACTGAACCAGCAGAAAGCATCTTTTTAGTACCTCCCATTTACTATACGAGACTTTGATAAGGATGGAGTTGAGGCCTTCTTCCCCAACCTCGCCCACCCCCACCACACACACACACACACACACACACACACACACACACATCTGTCCATTGACACTGATACAACTTACTTATATTAATGTCCTGGGAAGAGGTAGAAACATCTTGTCAAAGTCACTCTTTCAGTGGTGGGCATCTGTGCCTTACCATCAGGTGACTCAAATGAAAACCGAACCTAAATTGAAAAGAGAATCTGTATTTTTGTTTTCTTGAGCAGGAGAACCTTCACTTAAGCTGGAAAACTTACAGAAAGTATAGCAAAATAAGTCATAAAAGCAAAAAGGTTGTGCATTTGTAAGAATCCTAGTAATATACATATCCAAGCATGGGATGACCAGGCTGTTTTAATCTGTTGCTGGATCTAATTGCTATGGATACAGGGAAATTGGAGTCCACTTGTTTGTCTCCTTAGGGTTCGAGGGGAGTTAAGATAAAGCATTATTTTCTGGGTGTTGATTTCTAGACCATAGCAGATGGGATCTGCCTTTCAGGGTTGCTGACTCAGTGAAGAAACTCAAAGCTCATTTGGAAAGAAGGGCATTTCTGAAAGATAAGCCTGTCCAGAGTTGCTCCCTAGGTTTCCATCTGGGATAGTCAAGTATCCAGGGAAATAGAGTATGAGAAACATCTAGAGCAGCGGTTCTCAACCTGTGGGTCGCAACCCTTTGGGGGTCAAACGACCCTTTCACAGGGGTCGCCTAAGACCATCGGAAAAACACATATATAATTACATATTGTTTTTGTGATTAATCACTATGCTATAATTATGTTCAATTTGTAACAATGAAATTGGGGGTCACCACAACATGAGGAACTGTATAAAAAGGGTCGCGACATTAGGAAGGTTGAGAACAACTGATCTAGAGCCTTACCTTTCGGAAAATTTCCTCCATGTCGCAGGACCAGGCATATTCTTGCAAATTTTTGATAAGTTTAATAATAAAAAGAGAGCCCAGTTTGGGATGTCTCCAGGAAACATTATCTGTGAATAAAGCACATTCCAAATCTCATGCAAAGTTCTTGTATGGCCAAAAAGATGGAATGCTAGGATTTCCCCTCCAGCTGAGGAAGCCTGTTGAATTCATGCTGTTTTCTATACACTGTTTGCCATCATTTAGTGATTTTATCCAATGTATAATGAGTATACTTTACTGATACTTGACAATTGTTAATGCCATATGAAGGATGCTATAGAAGGGGCAGATGTTAGGTTGGTATTATCTTAGGGTTCATGGATCTATAAATCTAGAAGATACGGAGGGGAGGGCAGAATGAGGTAGAGGGAAGTGATTGGGCCTTAGGGAAGAAATACCTGAGTGTGGATCCCAAGAGTATTTGTTTACTGACTCTAATTTAAGTTATTTATACACTCTGAAATGCAATGGCCTTGACTATAAAGGGTAGGGAGGGTAAAATTTTCTGCCACAAAAACATATTGAAAGATTAGATATAATGTATTATCAGTGTCTAGGAGAATATAGGATGTGTTATACCCAGTCCATACACGGTAATTATATTAATAACATTTCAAATATCGACCTTGTAAATAATTTAATTAAAATTAAATACTATTGATCATAAGGTATTTGTGCAAAGAAAATGTTAACTGAATATGAGAATGCTACCAATATAAAAGAAGTACAAACCTAAAAAAGGTGTAAGAGAGAAAGATCATATTCTACTGGAGGACAAAACAGCCTTATGAAAAAGAAATACTGAAGAATAATATTAATTATATAAACAGTAGACACATAGAAATCACTGAGCCATTTTAAAATTTTAAAAATAAATGTATAAGAGAAAAGTGGTATCGCTCTGTATATAACCATGGACACAAGCTTTAACGAAACCTTTTAGCCAATAGTATTGGTAATAAAACATGTAATAGTAATAGGTTAAAATTCTATTTAAAGCCACAGGTGTTTTATGAAGCTGGTTCCTATTAAAAGAAGGGGATGGGAGAGAGGATGGAGGCAGACATGTCCACACGTTCTTTGTGAAATTAAGGGAGTAAGTGTGTTCAGAAGAGCACCACAATGTGCTTGCAATTAACACCAGAGAAAGTGAAGCTAAGTTTGCTAGTGGAATATAACTAACTGAAGATAACAGAGTTGATGTTTTTAAGTGTCAACTGCAATGGAGGGGTGAGGAAAGTAAAAGAAAGGGAGAAATAACTCAGCAAGACAGATTTTGAGAAGCCAGGAGGTCTACAAAAGACTATATAGCCAGAGGTAAATCTTTTTGGAAGGCTGGAATAAAGGGTTTTAAAGAAAATTTATGTTTAATACTAAAATCTGCTAAATACACTCAAGCTATAAATGTGTGGGACTTTTTGCCTAGCATCACTGTTTTGATTTTGGGGGAAAAATGATGGATTTCTACATTAAGACATGGTCAACACACACACACACAAAATGTGAATTTCAAGAAATTTCAAAACATAATATAGATATTATGATATTGATCAGTGAAGAATTCAAATAAAGCCCAGAGAGGCTAAATCACTAGGGCCTAGATTTAGAAATCATTATGTTTTTTTTTCTTTTTCATCCACTCTATACTTCTAGTTGAAAACAATTTAACTTGGAGGTTCAATATGCCTCTTCTGATTTTTTTATATCTCTCTCTGTCCCTATAAATACTACTTTTCTGTAAATACATGCTGATGTCTAGGCAAATTGAACTGCTGATTGAGCCCAACATTGTAAACCTTCCCTAAGTGGAGTCACCTTCTAATTTACTTCAGTGTAGATATTTCTCAACTGATCCCAAGCAGTTCCAGGAAACTATGTTTGCACCATGGGAGTTTAGTAATTACTAATTTAGTGAAAATATATGTGATCTCTGTGGGTAAGGATAATTGGAGTTTTAAACTAGGAGGACTGCTTTCGTTGTTCTTCAGAAGTGTCATAGAAAGTTCAACAGATATCCATTCTCTAAAGAGAGAGAGTGTGTGTGTGGTGTGTGTGTTGTGTGTGTGTGTGTGTGTCTGTATTGGCAACGCCCACAAAGGTGTCCTATACAGACACTCATTACCTGGTGTTGAAGAGCAGAAAGCAATAAAATCCTTCTCTATATGGGCTTTCTTAATGGCATCATATTCAAAATCGTCTGGAGCCAATGAGAAGTCGTTTTCAGAACCTTTTGCTGAATCTTTTAACCACACCACCCCTTCATTCTCTAGAAAGACAAGATTTGACATCTTGTTACTACCAACAGCCAAAAGATTCATTTTCTCCCTTAAGCCTCTGTCCAACTATATTTACTAATTTATTTGTGGCTGTCTTTCATTCATGTACGTGTACACACATATATCCCAGG